CACTATCAGAACCTAACATATTGGATCAGAAAGCACTGCACATATTATACTGTGCTTTACTACTACCATATATGAGCTATTGTGTAGAGGTCTGGGGAAACACACACAAAAGTAATACACAACCAATAACCACAATGCAGAAAAGAGCCATTAGATTAATAAATAATGCAGGGTTCAGGGACCATACAAATGCACTCTTTATCAAAATGCAAGCCATAAAATTTCAGGACTTGGTGAAGTTTAAAACAGCACAAATAATATATAAAGCAAGAAACAAAATGCTTCCAAAAGAAATGCGTAAATTTATAGAAAGACGAGGGGGGAGGAAATGGAATTTAAAAATACAAAGTGCTAGAACAACTTTAAAAAGTATGTCTGTCTCAATAGTGAAGAAAGTAACAACATAAACCAGTTTAAAATAAAATATAAAAAAAAATAATAATTGTAGACAAATATAAGAATAAAGAAAACGGGGTTGACCCGGGACAGTAACTGAAGTGATGTTTTGGTTATTGTGAATTTGCTAATTTACATATTCTTAGTCTTTTATTATATGAAAGAAACTATATTGTGATGATTTGTGTTTCGTTTTGCTTTTGTTTCATTGTTTGTTTGATTTAAGACTAAAAGAAAACTAAATGAGGCAGGGGCAGGGATAGCTCAATAGGTAGAGTAGCTGCCTCATGATTGGAAGGTTATGGGTTCAACTCTACTGAACGGCTACCCTGAGGTACCCCTGAGCAAGGTACCATCCCTACACACTGCTCCCCGGGCGCTGCATTGGTGGCTGCCCACTGCTTCACTAGGTGAATGGGTTAATGCAGAGGAGCAATTTCCCTACGGGGACTATCACATACACATCATTACATTATTAAAAAAAAATAAAAATGAATGAGATGAAAAATTTGTGGGGGTGGGGACTAATAAGTGTATACTTGTGTTTACTCCTTTTCAAACAAAAGAATGGAATGATATGAGGAAATGATGGTGAACGTACACGTTTGAAATAAAAATGAACTGAACTATTCAAGCAGTTCTAACGGTGAGGTCTGAATCATCTGGACAGAAAATGGGACTAGGACTATAGAATGAAGACTATGGAAAAAGCAAGAAAGCTGCCAAAGAAAGTTAAGACTGTGTTGATGATACAGACAGTCATACCAAATATTGAATATCAAGCTCAACAGAACTGCACAAAATCAGTTTTAGACTTTATATTTCTTTGTATGTTTTCACATGTTTAAATAAAATCAGTGCACCTGCTTCTTATAAAATTAATAAGAAACGAGGGG